GTGTTGTATTTGTGCAATGGGGAGAATATTTTCATGTGTTGAGTGATTGGTTGATTGTTCTAAAAAAATCAGTTGTACGACATATCCAAAATGTTTTCTCTAGAGCCTAGCTTTTATTGAAATCTGGTCGAAATAACCCTCAGATTGAGAGTTTAGCTTGACAAAAACTCATAAGACGATTCGGGAAGCTCAGGGAGAAATTGTACCTACTTGAGCAGCTCTGAACTTGTGTTCCTTGTTCCTTTCCCAAGTGAATTAAATCACGAGTTTCACAAGTTTTTAACTCGTACAACTCGTGGGACTCTTGGATGAAATCAACCTAGGTGGGAGAGGGGATTTAGTCATGTTTGTATCTGTATGTATCTGTCTTTATATTGTGGTTGAAGTTGAGCAATTGCCATGGGTTCCTTGGGAGCCCAGCCCATGTTTTTAATTTCCAAGTTTAATGAGGACAAATAAAGAATTATACATGTAATAAAGGTGTTATGCATAAATGCAGTACATGTTAATGTATCATGTATGCAGTGATGCAGGCAAATGATTTGATGTTGTATGCAACAATGCATATGTAATGATCTACACAAATAGGCATACAAGTAATTAACAATTAGTCTAGAAATAGTTGATTCATTTTTTTTTAATACTGGTAATCAAACAATATGTAATAAAATAATTTAATTGAAATTCATAACTTTCTTTCAGCTTAATATTCAAAATTTTAAATAATATCCTTAAGAGGCAGTGGAAAAAAAAATCAGGCTTTTTTTTACTTGTGTTTCACAATACTTCATTATTAATAGAGGTAATATACATTATTTTTGTACTTAAATAACAAGCGTGTTTTTCATCCAAGGCCAAATATGTTATAAAAGAAAAAAAGAATCTTCCTATAGAAAGTAGAATTGTTGAATTTTAAGTGCATTATGTAATTTTTTTTTGTTGTACAGCATGTTTCTTGTCAAAAGGATGTCTTCAAAATAAGGTAGCCAATAAGAATAATAATTACCGTATAAGGAAAGTATAGTTTGCGCTCCAATTTGAGACCACTTTTGGGGTCTGAAAATTTGGGGTGGTTTTGGAGTTCGGTTTCAAATTAGAGTGTTAGATTTGTGTACAAATATTGAAGGTAGTTGTTTTGTTCTTTGAAAAAGTGGACTAGAATTGGAGGGTCACAGAATTAGATGGGTTTTAAATTTGAGGGGGCACTGTATAAAACTGGATAAATGAGTGACATAGAGGCAGAGTATGTTGATGTGTGGCTTGAGTAATTTTACCAAAGAGAATTTTGCAGAGGCTGGAATTTGAG